AACAGAATCAACTTTAATAATACCAATCTAAGCACTATGGTACACTTTCATGCTTTGTATTAAATTATTTACTAAACATCTCATCAGACTCTTAGCTACTAATAACTAAATCACATGTTCTCACAAACTAAGATTGCCATGACTTGTTCCAAAGCTACAGATGTGTACTTGACATGGAATGTGATTTCTAGTACTACACACAAAAGCTGCTCTTCATTTCTTCAACGCTGGGGAAACTTAACAGCCCACGCTGGGAATGGGAAGGTCCCCACTGCTGTGCTTTTCGTGCCAAAAATCCCCCAGCTGCTGTACAAGGCCTAGAAATATGCCTAAACAGGAAGCACAGGTCAAAAGATCAGCAATGCTAACTGTCAGCAAGCTGACCCCTGTGGAGATTAGCAACAATTGGTCAAACATTTAACTATTTCTGTACAAGCCATCTTGAAGCAGAAAACAGGACGGGGTAAAAAACATAGCGTTCCAGTTCAAAGTGATGGTAAAAGACGGGTTTTGTAGTTTGAGAACTAGATTGTACTACAGACACATGAGTAAGTACTAGACTTAGTTCAAGGACTAGATTCAAAGACCATCAAAAAAAGTTCAATTGAAAACTACTTCCTATAAAAGGAGCAAAAGAAATTGTTTCCTTTTTCATAAGCAACTAGATAATATCAACTTATTGACTATATGCTCGCTGCCAAGTCTCTGTTCTTGAAACAGAAGTTATTAAAAGCTCTTTAAATGTCTTTGAAACACTTGAAATTGAATAATTTCAGTCTGATTTCTAAAATGCAAATATTTTCCAAAAACGTTGGAATGGAAGCATATTCACATTATAAGGAGTATATATAAATCCTTTTTTCAACTAAATTCACACATTCATTGCTATTTGACCACAGAAGTTGGTTTAAGATTCAATTCCATAGAATTAGGAATGATGTTAGCTGTAACAATGTGCAATAAGAGATAAGTCACTTCAAGCAACTTTTTCAAAAAGCATATCAGCAATAAGAAGCGTAATATAAGATTCTAGCGGACTGGCAAACACTGAAGCGTTGGAACGACCTGGAACAGGGGAAAAAGAACAAAGAATAGATGGTAACACTGGGCCTGTCTCTCGATAGCGTAAAAGACAAAGTTATTTTTAGGGTAATATGGTGCGAAACTCAAGCAGTTGGAAGACAAATGAGTCTTTTCCAAAGACTAACAAACAGTGCTCGAGTTCAGCTGTTTTGCTCCCCTCAGGCGTAAGACAGACTTAATGTAATAGCCTGCAAGCAGGAAAAATTAGGAAGGAAAATAGTCTTTGCGGCTCCAACAGAACTGCAGATGATCAGAAAATTTACATTCTAATGTAAATGGATATAAGTATATAAAAACGGATATAAGTCATTATTTTCAGCACCCTTTTTTCTCCAAAACATCTTGCACCCACAAGAACTCATTCCACTTTGGAATACAGCAATATACTTCTGAGTTATTAGTTTCACTCTAGAACAGCATTTGACTTATAAAAGCAGATCAGAAAGCCAACGCAATATATATAGCACACAAAATATGCTGACAGGAATTGAGAATGGATACAGAACAGATACATTTTATAACCTGAAATTTAAGCAAAATTTTGAAAGACAGTTTCATTTAAGATTTGTTTAAACACCTTGTAAATAGTTAACACTTCTGAGACGTGAAAGACTACAATTCACGCAGATGTTGCAGACCCCAGTATTTGTTAGGTTTCCTAACGCACTGGCCAAGCTAGGCTACTAAAGTACTTACCTGGTGGAAATGCGGCTGAACACAGCATTAAAATTATTGCAGCTAAGAGAAAAAAGAACTCCAGAGGCCGAATTGCGTAGTTCAGCTGCATGCTGGTTCCCTTCACGGTAAGTGTGGATGAAGTGGCAGATTTCTGGCAGCAACTGTTTTACCAGCATAGTCTCATCTAGTCGCATGGTATCCTTCGGTTGCTAAAAATAAACGTTCAACATTTCATGAATTTCATTTTGTAGGTTTAGAAGCAAAAAAAAAGGAGTGTCTAGCCATTAGTATCATAGGACCCGAATCTAAACTTCGAATTCTGCCTGCGGGCTACCACTGACCACAGTGTAAGCAGTCCACATAGAAAAGGCTTCTTTTCATTTTGACAATAACCTGTCTCATTCCCACAATTTTACATTTTCAGGTTAGCCTCCAAAACATGTAGGATAATAAGCTGATCAATACCATCAAGTTTCAAGCAAAATATCAAACCCTTTTTTGAAATAAAATAGTGAGGACTGTATCCTGCTGATCTACATAAAACATCAGCAGTAGAGCATTAAGCGATCGTTATTTGAATGGAAGCTCAAAGGGCGAAGACCCACCCTTGCTTCTCTTTTGGACAGCGTTCTTACCACTGTATTTTGATAGCAAATATTTAAAAAATGACCCGAAAAAAAGGTGATTCTCCTTTGCTCTTGACTAGGATTGTGCTATATGAGTCAAAAGTGGCTCAACTTTCCTGCAGAATAAAAATCCAATTTTTGCCAATTTGCACAGCATGAGACATAAGGAAGCTATTTACAAAAGAATTTGAAGTGAAACTTTGCTCTACTAAGAGCAAGTTTTAACAGAAGGGTCAACATTAAAGCTTGCTAAAATTCTACCAATGAATTTACCTTAGGGAATTGGGAAGTTTCAGAGACTCCCACTTAGTTGACCTGAGTCCTGTTGCCATGAGAACTTGGTGAAACATTGAGCAAGAACAGCGAGCAAGAAATACGCCTGAAGATATCACAGAACACAACGCTCTTTGTATAGAACTTTGGCTCAGTCTTATTAAATGTATACTGGCTCATGTTGCTCTCATTTGAATTGAGAAAGCAAGAAGCACTCAGCTCAATTACAGGCTTTTCAAATATCATCATGTATCAGAAAAAACACTGATGTTGCAAGAAACAAAATATTTTTAAAAGAAAAAATTTTGTAAGTTCAACAGGTTTTTTGACTCACTGAATCAAATACAGAAGTAATACCAAAAAGAGGTATTAACTTTATCTTAAAAAGTTGAAACTACTCTGCAAAATGTATTTACCTGGATCTTTTCTGAATTTAGAAGAATTCAATTATTCAGGCTGTTTTAGTACTGTAATATAAGATCTGCTGCTTGACAAACCTAACCGTAATATGTTCATTACCTTATAAAGAAAGAACCTTCAAAAACAGTTGCAGGGAAACAGCAAAGAGCTTAGATGATTTCATGACATTCATCCAGGAATAAAGCTTTAAAAAAAAAATCCCTTTCTTGTTAAAGGAATAAACCAGAGATTTACAAATTTTGCTCACAGTGAAGTTTGGCTTTGCAATTTTACAGTTTAGCACAGTAAGTTGTACAACCGTTTACATCCCAAAGGTAAAAGCAAACCGCTTTTCAGCACAGCTCTGATTGGAAACCTCAGGATTGGACTCCCAATGGAAGTTTGGACATGGTTAACTAATGTAAACTAGGAAACACCTGCAAAAGTAATCTTTAGAATAATGATAGCAAAGTTTCTGCTGTACATAAAATTACATGAAACTGAAATAACATTACATCACCAAATGAAAAATCACAAGAAGTCTTAAGAAAAATTGACATTGTCTGCAGAAACTTTAGTAATATAACATTTAAATACTTGTACTGAATTATTTGCTACTTTTAACATGATGAACTATCCTTTACTTTTTTTGTGAGATGAAAATATTTTCAAACATCTGTTCAAAAAAATAGAGAGTAAAATATGCCACAAGCATTCAAAGTTTGTAAAAATCTGACGCTTGGTAACCGAATCCAGCTCTTTGTGTTTGTGTCCCTCCTTACTTCAGTTCACATATGCGTAGATTTGAGAATAATTCTTTAAAAAGAATTACAGAGAAATGTACCAAGTAAATCATTGTTTATAACTCCACAAATCAGCTGAGTATCGGGAAGGGAAATCCAAAAGTTACTTGAATCTACTCAGTTGAAAAAAGGTTTCTAATTATTATTACTAAAATTATTATCACTGATTTTAGGCAGGAAAGAAAATGCTCAACAAATCCCTTAGTCATCATAAACATTAACCTCTTGTATTTATAGGAAGTTTAGGGGTTTTTAAAAATTAACATTAATCTTACTTTTCTCTAAGCCAGATGAGTTTTAACTTTAACAGCAGTAATAATAGATACACTAGCATTTGACTTGCACTAACTCATTTGATTCCAACTCAGCAATTGCTTATGCAAGACGACTCACCCCTGCCAGACATTTTTCCAGTGTATCCAAGATAATCAGCTGAGATAAATATAAGTTCTTTTCAGCAGTTTCACCAAATATTCTCTAGAAGAAGAAAGGATACAGATTCATCTGAGGCGCAAAAATTTAACTTGTAACACATTACAGTAATGTAGTAGAGCGGTACAATAAGTTATGGCTCCTTTATTACTCTTGCTTTAAGTTTAGAAATAAAAGTAGTAAATATTAGATTAAAATACAAATTAAAACCTAATCACTGAAGTGAAAAAATTTCTTTACCAGTCTGCAACGCCAAATCTAATAAGGAACAAGCAGTACTACAAAATAAGACTGGAGGTACACTGCAGCTCCTGACCTTCATCTGACCTACAATTTATTCAGAAATGAAGGTTATACCTTCTCAGGAACTATTTTAGTATCAATGACTGCTGACTTTTTCCAATTATGTATGTCACTGCCAACACCTTACTTAATAGAACTGATGTTACCATAAACGCATGCCTACAGACTTGTTCAAGTGCTGCAAAACTTAGCACAGACCACAGGAAGAAACACAGGAGACCCTCCAAGCAGATGCCACGCTTCAGACAGAGGCTGTAGGCAGAACTCCATCAGGCAGTTAAGCTAGCACCCAATTTTATCATCAACAACAGTGACTAGTTCCAACAATATTAAGACTGAGATAGCAAAACAAAGCAGAAAAGAGTTGGCCAAAAATATACCGCCTGCACAGGGAACACAATGCAGAAGTCACCCAAAAGAAGTTCTATTTAAGACCACCTGAGAGGTGAGTTCAACTAATTGTAAGTTTTAGCAGAGCACAAACCCTCCAGATTTTTCTTCTGAACACAAGACTATTATGACTAGTCTATTGGTTTGTTCTGTTCTTTTCTCCCCCCACCCCAAGGAATCTTTTAAAAATATTGCTGACTTATATAGCAGCTCTCTCCATCAACCATAGAAAAAGTTAAGTCTTGCTCCTCAGTGCAAAGCAAACAGGGCCATTTTTATTGACATTTTTAACTAGGTCTTTCCTCATGAAATCTGCACATTGTATACAGAAATTTGTTTTAACTGTACAGACAGTCTTCTCATTTCAGACAATCATCTTAAGCATCACCACATTCTTTCATGTTTATAGAGTTTAATTAAAATAAATTCTCTCTCAAAAAGGATTACAAGTAACTTTAACCAGTCAAAATCCATAACAGGAGGGCAGCATTTTTTGTTTTCCAATTTGATCAGTCCTTCATAGCATTACAGCAGACCTCCATCTCCATAAAACTGACATCTAAAGTAGTTCACTGCAAACTGTCACTATCTTGACAAAACCATAAAAATAAATATAGCTAGAGTTTGGCCAGTTCTATTACTTGTTTCTGGAGATTCCAAATGATCAAAAATCACATGGTATCAAGAAGGAATGAACTCAACTTTTCTGTGACAAATCTAAAATCAGATCTTCCATGAAAAATCAAACTGTATCTTACTGCTCTTAAAAGACTCCTAAACTTCCCATTTACCCAACGTGATGGCAATGACCATGACTTAATGGCAATGGTGACTCTTCTAGAGCGGGTACTCTACGGACATCTGTAACCAGGTTTTTTTTCCTTCTAGGTTTCTTCTCTTTGCTTCCCCTGAAATCTATTTTACTTGACAATTTTAGTGATGCTGATGAGTCTATAAATATTTTGTTGGATTTCAGGAATTATTTTATGATTCCCCTTGAGTCACTTCAGAAAAGCAGCACGCAGAAGGAAACAATCTAAGACACTTGGCTCTAAAGATCTCTTTGGGAACTAACAGATAGATCTTGAATATCATTCCTTCATATCAGTGTACTGTCCTCCAGTATCATCATTAAGAACCAGTTTCATAAAAGGCTGAGAGCCATATCAAACACAAAATGGGAAAGACGTGTAGCACACCCATCATCTTTCATTCATTTTTTCTTACTGACTTGCAAGGTATCCCTTTGGAGGTACAAGTCTATACCGGTGGCATTAGACAAGAAATTGTTTTCAAAGCTTTTTCTTACATGGGCCTGACTGAAATTCATCTGGCTGTTAAAATACAAATATACATGAGAGAGCAGCTAGCAGTTGACTGGAAATACAAATACTAAAGCATCAAAACAGTCCAAAAAATACAAACTTCCTAAGTTTTAAATGCTTGTGCTTCCTTTTCCCAAAAGAGCTCCTAGCAGGTTGTGCAGGAGAGAGAAGAAAACACTCCTAACGCTGCTGCTCAACAGCTACTTTGCCCAGCCGCATTCCTCCTGTAACAACTTTGCTAGCATCGTTTCCTGAGCTAACTGGAATGCTTTTTCATGCTACGGAAAACACCCTCCCTCACCTCCCAGTAATCACTGCTTCTTACTGGTTTGCACAGCGGACCCCTAAAAATCACTCAGAGACTGAACGCAGTATTAGGTGCCTTTATGTACCCTCTCCTCAGTGAGCCACATACATTTCTAGCTACAGACTGTTCCCATGAATAACACAGAGGATTCCCCTTAATCACGACCTTTCTTTGGATTTCTCTGCCACAACTGTCTTATCAGCTTCGTATGTAACAGCTCAATGCTTTTGGTAAACATAATTACACATGAAGTGAAAACAGCAAATTTAAGTGTAAAAAGCATGCAACTATTGGACTCATGTTTCAAATTACTTTCTGCAGGGCTTAAATAATAGGAGTAAATAATATTTTGAAAATATCCAACAATCTAAAATAGAAAACTTACCATGTTATTAACATTTTTTAAGATATTGGTGAGACCACTTATAACCAGGGAAAACTTGTACTTGGAAATGTTTATGAGACATTCCTTGTTGTGTTCTGTGCTGACTTTGGTGTGGGTGTTCTGCTGGCCAGCTTTTATAGGAAGCTACAAAAGAGATAAGTATTGTAAACTTTTTTATATTAAGATTTACATCTTTAAGGACAGTTTCAAAATATTTTGAGATGCCAGAGACGACTTTATAAAAAAACACTCCATAAAAAACAACTACAAACACACTCTGACTATTTCACTTTATCTGTATTTATCTTTATACTAGAGATAACCGTAAAACAAAATACTGAAGCTCATCTATTGCTTTTTCCTCAGTTGAACCCAAACTTCTATTTTGTGATAATGTGCTTATAAATCAAAGGTCAAAGTAATCAAAAGGAACAGAAACTCAGTAAGATGCAAGTAACACAGAATCCTGCAAAAAAAGTTTCCTTTCCTGCAGAAGCTGACTAGTTACATACCAAAACTCTTCACAAGGCCAATACCTGCAAGCTACAAGCCACGCTGGGGAACTGAGAGAGGCTGTCACACAGTAACTCACAAAGTGGGGTGAGCAGGGGTCCCAGGAACGTCCTCCTACTCCCTCCAGGCAAAACTGGTCAACAGGGACAACCGAGCCCCAGGATGAACCAGCTGTGACAGCCTTAGCAGTCTCTGCTAGATCCCTTCTGCTTATCGAGAAATCCCTGGACAGGCAAAGTCACACTGTCAGTCACTTGATGAAGCCTCAGACACACTTTGAGCGCTCGTGAACTACGCACAACTTGCGAGCTCCATGTTAGGCACCCTTGCTCAACATCCTGTGGTGAAAACTAGACTTCAAATACAGCTCTTCCAGAAAAGGTAAGATTCAGCATAAATGGACAAAATTGAGATGTTAATCCTAATCCTACTATGTCAACACTAGACGCTTTGTTTCATGCTGTACTCAACTTCAAGGGTCACAAACTCATCACTTTCCTAGTGCAGTCACTTCCCTTGCGTGTAGATGGCAGGAGTCAGTCAGTTAGAAGCTATCACACGAAAAAGTGAAAAGTAGTTCTTTGTAAAAATTTGTTTTACTGAGGATTGACCTTTTTAAAAAGCTACTAAATATGGGACAAAAAAAGGAATCACTTCTGTCATCTCTTCTTTATAAAGCACGTCATTTACCTTTTAAAGCACAACTCAGGAATTCCCCATCTATACAAATTTCAATTAAGAAGTGTTACTACTAGTTTTAACTGATTTTGACTAGCATTATCTACAAACAGACATTGTGAAAGACGGATAGCTCAAAGATGAATGCCACACATATTTCTGCACTGTGAAGGGAATCTTACAAAAAAAAAAAATTAAGAGCAGTTAAAGGAAAAATTCCAAGGAATTAACATTAGCTTTACCACTCCAGCATGCTTACAGGGCTTTGGTCAACATTTTATTCAGTTGTAGCATCTTACCAGTTATATTAAAAAGTACATTTACCTTAATTGAATAAACAAGATACTGAGTTTCCTTTGGCTTATTAAACAAAAAAACGAAGCCAGTTATCAAAAACTGTCTTCAATATAGAAAAAACTTACAGAGAAGACTTGGGCCACCATAACGCTGACAATTATATTGCAGATTTTTGTTGTTCTGGGAGAGGGCAAAAGAGGTAAATGAGAGAAAATAATGGAACTACCGAACCCGAGGAATCCCTCATCTCTTCATAAACCCAAGCCTTCTCCCATCTCAGACCTCTCAGAACTAAGCTGTGGTATCAGCTTCCATCATGAATTAAAAAGCTTTCTGTACAAGCAAGAATTCTGGATGAGGGGAACAGAAAAGTGTTTGGTATTTGTGGTATGATTCTCTCATTGAAAGAAAACTGAAAATAATTAGGTTTCACAGAGCTATCTAGAACATAAACACACTGACTTACCGCAAGTCTAGCATAAAACTTCAGTATTGTTGTGGTTTTTTTTCTTTTTTTTAGCCTGCTGCTGGTATTTAGGAGTCTTTGCCTAACTAACAAGGACAACATCAGGAAAGAGTTACTAAAGTATCTTTCCAAAAAAAAAAAAAAAAGTTATTAAGTAACGCATCTCAACTTACTTCCAGTGAAGAAAAAAATGTTTTTTTTAAACCATGAATCAGTTTGATGAACAGTTTCAGAATACCACAATTCCCACATATCACAAAGAAAAATCAAGCTTTCATTATGCTGTTTTATTCTTGACTAAGTACGTTATTCTGCAATACACAATCAAGTATTTTGCTGAAATCAGATAAAAAGAATCATCAAAAGCATATAATGTAGTTTTCCTGTTAATAAAATAACTGGTCTAGCTCAAAAGGGTTAAAAACCCATGAAGCTCTCATGAAGGCTAAATTCTATTAATATATACTGCTGAAATCAGTCGAGTTCAACATGATACTCCTAGTTTCACAAATTCCCCTGTAAAGAGTTCAGGATTAATACTTTTGGGCTCAGTCTTGTCTTCAAAAACAGTTCTCCCTGAATTTTCCAACAGTTTCATTAAGTTTTTTGATACTACACACGGTACAAATATTGATCCTGATTTCTCCAATTAACATAAGAAAAGACAGTAAGCAAGTAGCATTGTGTAACAGAACATCACTCTCACCTTTATAACAACATAAGCAAGTCAGACAAAAATAATTCTAACATCCAGAAGAAAGTTCTCTCACTGCAAACTTAAAATAGCTATTGTTTAATAGCTATTGTATTGTTCACAGTACAGAAATTATAGCAGATCTATATTTGGCAATAGAACTTCAAAGGTTAAGAGAAATTTCTCACTGCAGCTATCACTTTGCAATATTTCACTGCTCAAATCAGATTTAATTTTCTTAATCTAATTCCTGAAGGTTTTCAAATAATACAAGTATTAACCATTGTTTCCTTAAAAGGAAAACTGGTGAAAATTTTAGAGAGTTCTTAAAGATCACACTATGCACTGATCGTTTTTTGAGACTATTGCCTTTACTAAGTGATGTGGACAACCTCCGAGCAACTTCCGGGAAAAAAAAAAAAAAAAGCCATGTTTTCAGCTGCATGCAACTTTTTATAAAAACTTAAAACATTACAAAACTTTAATTTCAGATTTCTGTTAGTTTAATACACTAACCACATAGTTAGAATCACAGAAAAGTCGAGGTTGGAAGAGCTCTGGAGACCATACGGTCCAACCTTCCGTTGAAAGCAGGGCTGTAGATTAGGTTACCCAGGGCATTGCCAAGCCTGGAATACTTACAGCAAAGGACATTCCACCATTTCCCTGGGCAACCTATCGCAAAGTTTAATTGCACTCATGGTGCATTGACATTTTTTTTCTTATATCTAGATGGAATTTCCCCTGAAGCAATCCTGCACCTGTTGGCTCTTGTCCTCTCACGACACATCCTTGTGAAGAGAGACCTCCGTCTTCTCTATCATTATTTTTTACTTATTAGAAGATTGCCTAGTCAGCTCTCTAGGCTGAGCAAACACAGCTCTTTCAACCTTTCTTCATACATCAAGTGCTCCAACACTCTAACCATCTCAGAGGCCTTTTGCTGGACTCTTTCCAATTTCTCAGCCTCTCTGTTGAACTGCTGGGGGGGGCAAGGGGGGCAAAACTAGATACACTATTACAGGTATGCCCTCACCAGTGCCTGATAAAGCATAATAACCACAGGACTTGATCTTCTGTCTATAGACTTGGTGATGCAACCCAGGACACAGTTTGCCTTCATCACTGCAAGGTGCACTCCGGACTCGCATTCAGCTGGCGGCCCAACAGGACTCCCAGGGCCTTTCCAGCAGAGCTAGACCCCACACATTCAGATCCCAGCCTTTACAGCTCTCTCGGATTATTCCATCTCAGATACAGGTTTTTATATCTATCTTTCTCAAGCCTCATGCAGTTCTTATTGGTCCAGCCCTCCAGACAGTTGAGGTCTCCCTGTAAGGTCGGGCTACCCTCCAGTTTACCTACTTTCCTCCCAGGTTGGTGACGGCACATTCCATCCTGCCATCCAGTTAAATTACCGTCACCATTCATGAACATCTCTGTCAACCACTTAACATTACTGTCTTCGTTGGTAAAAATTTAGAGGTCCACATTTAAAAATGTTAGATTTATGAATTGTATTAAAAATCCAAACTCGGAACGTTTTTTCCCCAACAATAAGTTTCACTGTATCGCTAAATGCAGTCTACTTTATATTGACATTTTTCATTTGTAGGGAACTGGACCTCTTTGTGCTATCCAGCTTTTATGCCCAAAGGTAATTTCCTCTCCATAAAAATTGTGGTTTGGGTTGGGTTTTAAATATCTGTTCTTTAGGGTACCAAAGGTTGTGCTCACACTGGAAATTTGCTATTTTTCTCCTCAGAGGATGGTTAACTCTTAAGTCAAAAATGACTAAACTGCCACACTAGATTATACTGAGGACCCATTTAGTACATTACCTTGTCTCCAACAGTGGACAGCAGCAAATGGTTCTAGAGAACAACAAGCAATCCTTTCTTTCAATTCAGACAGTGGCTCACGGATTTCCTGCACTAAGTGTGGCATCCAGAGAACCACATTAAAAGACATCACCAGATCTACCCTTCAGAAGAACGGCTAATGCTTTTGGCCTGCACAACATTCTACAGCAACAAGTTCCAAAGGGTAATTAAGGTAATTTTCACTTCATTTGGTAATTGACTTGCAAGTTTTCAGATTGCAATGCTTTAAAACAGTTTGATGTATTTCAGTGTGCCCATTTTAAAACTGGAAAAAGCAGAACAAATAGCATTTATGACTCAGGCTTTATTTTCATTCTTAGATGTTATTTTTACAATACATTTTCAGAAGTCATTAGTCAGTGGAAGATAGAAACATTTAATTAAAAATTTCAGTATTACTAGTACTTTTTATTTGAATTTTCAAGTCTCCATGCTGACAGCGGCAGAAAAGCTCAATAGCACTGCGTGACAAATTACTTCACAAGTGCCTCTCAAAGAAATTGTGCCATAGATCTAGTTCTGCATGCTTCCATGCTATAGGAACATCATTTTACATATTTTTTTGGAGCTTCCTGCCACAACAGCCACTGCAACAAGGTCACCTAGAAATAAA